AACAACCTACTCTCTCTCTCTCTCTCTCTCTCTCTCTCTCGCTCATGAGTTGCCTTCCTGTGTAATTCCCCTAGTGTTCTAATGAACTATCACCAACTATTACGCACAATGGGATGCGAAACAAAAGACCCACCTACTTTGTGATATCCTGTACACATGATGTAGCCTTACGAAGGAATGCTATCTGATTTTACTTTGCATCTTCCATCCATTCCTATTGATGGACATGGAGGAACCAGAAACACCCATGATGCACACAACGTTATTGCTTTTCCACAGTTCAAAGAAATAGGGCATCATCTGGTTGACCCCGATATCCTTATGTCCATAACATCATTGTCAGCATGATCATCATATCTGTGTCTTTCAGGAAGCTGCTTCAATCTCTCAAAAATTTCATCCAAGGACTCGGAAGAAGAAACTCTTGAAGCAGGTCTGGTCTCCTGAACCTGACGGAGGGGCAAAAACTTCTTGGCTCCTATATTGGCCCTAAAACTCTGAAAACTTGTCTTCATCGAAGCCCATGTTGAAATACCAGATAAATTGTTCAATGAATTCCCAGACCCGAACTCGTCGTGCGAGTTGCTAGCCTGAAGTAAAGAGACGGTACCAGATGATTTGCCTTTGTCTTGGGATCCTGAAGTGGAAGATTTTCTGGCTTGATGTTCTCTAAATGCAGCATACTTGCTTTCGATGCTTTCTCTGCTGTTGGTGTAATTTCGATTCTCGTCTTTCAAAGTCTTGAAGTGGTTTCCTCTCCCATCCTCTTTGAACATGGTAGCTGTTGTAGATTTCATTTCAAAAGTATTTTTCTCAGGAGCCCCATTTTCATTTTTGAACAGTTTCTGCACAAAAGAAGAAAATAAGAAATTAACTTAGTCAGATTTTCATCAGCTGATAAGAGAACAGCAATAATCTCATAACTTCCAAGAAACAATTTGTCCGCATAAAGGCAACCAGAGATTAACAAAGCCAGGGATTGGCAGGGTGCAAGATGGTTGGCCATTGACCATCAATCAGAGGTACTCTTAAGCTCAATTTTTTGTATAAGCTCTCAGGTGACTCGGACCTGGAAGCGATCAGAGGTCCTCTGAGATGATGAAGCATTCTAATTTCTTATTTGGGGCCAGTTGGTATTTCCATGTCTCTTGGGTGGAACTGGAGTTGTGTGATTGATTAAAGGGAAAGAAATTTCACACTGCCAAGGGTGTGCCATTGCATGCCCCTGCACCATTCGATGAAAACAGACAGTGCACAATGTGCTGACACCATGTCAATGTCGCAAATCCCATGTAATATGTTTTAATTGGATAATGGACACGTGGCCACTTGCAACTGCAGCCATCTAAAAAAATCAAGGCTGTTTAAATGTTATTGAGCGGGATAGTAAAGAATAGAGTGGGCCTTGGAGGCTGGCTCCAAATTTTAAAGGAGATTGGGAATATTTGCTCATCGTGCTGTACCTGTTTTTGCATGGTAAGCAGAGTAGCTATTAGCATGGCAGACAGGCTTGCCAATGTGTGCAACATGTTGTGTCAGTAGGAATGAAACTTGACACATCATGTTTTTTTTTTTTTGATAATTGTTAACATTGTATTACTTAAGAGAGTAAAAGTCTACAGGGTGTAGGACTGAAGGCACCCTCACAGGGTGACTAACAGTAAAAATATACACTAGTCGTCCATTCTCGCTATAGGCTTATAAGATTCGCCCAATACAAGATATACAATGAGATTTACAAAAATAAAAACTGAGCTGTGGCATGCCCGTATGGCGACGGGCTATGTAGTAAGGCTGTAGTCCTGAACAAAAAAGGAGTTGAACCTGGCCTGGATATCCATATGCAAGCTAGCTCCCTCCTTTATCAGTAGATCCACGAGATTGCTGGACATCCTCCAAGTATGCTGCCATGAGATGCTCATACCCCTGCAGATATGGGAAATTTTATCAAAGATGGAGGACAGCTGCCAAGGTGGAGGGGACAAGCCTCTTGCCCAAGATATGGTGTTCAAGGAATCTCCTTCCACAATCAGTGTTGTGCCCCAGGATGGATTGAGGTTTCTCAAACCCAATAGTAGAGCCATAACTTCTGCATATTGGGAATCATAGGTCCCTAGATGCACCGAAAAGGTGAAGAGGATGTTTCGCTGGCAATCTCTTAAAACACCCCCTGCGCCTGAAGGGCCAGGATTACCTAGAGAGCAGCCGTCGAAGTTAAGCTTGATGCTGCCATCTGGTGGTGGTTGCCAGTTATTAGCTCTTAAGGGTTTGGAAGGCCTGTGGTTAAGGACATTTTTCCATTGAGAGAGAAGGGTGTTCCTAGAAAGGCCCAAAAAAGTCTTGTGATTTGAAGCCCAAAAGGTGGTCCACGAGACAATCTTGTGGAAGAGAGCTAGCAGTAGTAGCTGAGCACCATTGAAAATTTTGTTATTCCTTTCCAACCATAAAGTCCAAATGGTGGCAGCTACAGTAGCCTTCCATAATGATTTTCCAGCCAAGAGCCACTGAGAATCAAAGTTGTGAGCGATCAAAGCACGGACCGTGGGTGGGGTGACCCATTGGATACCAAAAAGTTGAAGCACATGGGACCAAAGTTTATGGGAAAAGTCACAAAGGATGAAAAGATGGGGGTTAGATTCCTCTGCGCAGAGAAATAGAGCACATCTGTTGCGTGTGGAGAGGCCTCTTTTTGTAATTGGTAAAATGTGAGGGCTCTTTGAGAGCAGGCAATCCAACTAAAGAACTGAATCTTTGGTGGAGCGATAGTGGACCACACTTTAGGCAGGATAGAGGTGGGATTGAGAGGCAAGGTTGGGTGAGAATTTTGTAAAAAAAAGCTACTGAAAAGAGGCATGAGGGGGATAGGCTCCATACAATAGTGTCACTCCCAAAAGATGGGAGGAAGTGAGAGGAAAGGGCACGCAGAAGTTGTTGGAATTGGATGCTCTCATCATCTGAGAAGTTTCTACGAAAAGAGGGACTCCATTTCTCCGGCTGCCAGAGAGAGGTATTTCCTCGGCGATGGAGTTTCTGTCAGAAGAAAGTGAAAAGAGGGTAGGGAAAGCCTTGCACAAGGGGGATGTGCCAAGCCAAATATCTATCCAGAATTTGACCCTGAAGCCTTCTCTGGCATGGAATCTAATGTGCATTCTGAACTGTGGCAGTGATGAGGCTAAGGACAACCACACTCCTGCCACCCTGTGTTTTTGAATCCTCTCTGGTACCCAAATTTCATCCCGTATATTGTATTTGGTACGCAACACCTGAGCCCAGAGAGATTCAGGTTGAGGGGCTAAGCGCCACCACCATTTTCCTAGGAGAGCAGTATTATGTTTTCTGAGGGTCCGAGTCCCTAAACCCCCTTGCTTTCTTGGTAGGAAGATGTTTTCCCATGCTACAAGGTGGAATTTGGTCTTCTCTGCCTGGCCCAACCAAAGAAAATTTCGCATAAGTTGTTCTATGCGGTTGGCCACCTGTGCTGGCATCTGGAACAGGGACCTGAAGTAGACTCGAGTGCTTGCCAGAGTAGCCTTGATCAAAATTACTCTACTCGCTGGGGAGAGGTATTTGCCTTTCCAAGTGGCAAGGCGCCTCTCTACTTTTTCTAGGACCTGAGACCAGAGTCTTTTTTTGGGTTTCCCAAACCCAAAGGAAGGCCCAGGTAGGTGGAAGGGAGATCTTCCACTTTGCAATCCCAGTCTGGGATGAGGACACGAACCTCGGCATTTGTCATGGCAACCCCCATCATTTTGGACTTCTTCATGTTAAGTGTGTCTATTTCCTCTCGGGAGGCGTCAAGGAAGACCAAGGTGTCATCTGCGTACTGTAGGTGTGACACCGTGGGACCCTGATTACTAGTAGTGAAACCAGAGAGTAGACCAGACAGGTAAAGGCAGGAGAGAGATCTAAAGAAGACTTCTGCGACTATGGCAAAAAGGAAGGGGGAAAGGGGATCCCCTTGATGAAGCCCCTTGTGAGCTGGGAAGTAGCCTTTCGATGACCCATTGATGAGGATGGATTGATGGGGGTTAGAGTAAGATCCCCTCATCCAACTTCTCCAACGTTCCCTGAAACCCATTCTCACCATGGTTTCTTCCAGGATGGACCAGTCGACATGGTCATAGGCTTTCTCCCAATCTATTTTAAAAATTAAACCTAGTTTCTTGGTTAAATGTCTCGAGTGGAGACACTCATGGGCTACTAGGATCCCATCAAGAATCTGTCTATCTTGAATGAAAGCCGACTGGGAAGGAGAGATCACTGTAGGGAGGACTTGTTGGAGTCTAGAGGCAAGGACCTTAGCCAGAATTTTGTAGGTCGAGTTCAGGAGGGTAATTGGTCGAAGTCCTTGATTTCCTCAGCCCCTTCGATTTTAGGGGCAAGGGCAGGCATTAATGGCTTTATGGATGATTCCCCTTTGGAAGAATTCCTGGAAGAAATTGAGGAGTCATAACGAAAAGTAACCTAGAAGGTTTTGAAAGGTGCAATCGGGAAACCATCTGGGCCTGGGGCTTTATCAATGGCAAGGGCATTTAAAGCTTGTAGGACCTCATCCTCAGAGAAAGGTTGCTCCATTGAAGCTGCTAGGTCCTCAGTTAAAGGCAGGAAATCAAGATCAGTCATTCTAGGCCTCGGGCCAATGGGGGTAGAATAGAGAGTTTGAAAGAACTCTACGATGGCGTGCTCAATTTGTGTTGGTTGGGTCAAATAGTTGTTGTTAACTTTGAGCACCGAGATGGTGTTGTCCCTTCGACGACAATTAGCGATAGGATGGAAAAAAGCAGTGTTATGGTCTCCCACTTTTAACCACTTTATCCTAGATCTCTGGAACTAGTAGATCTCTTCTTTTTTGAGGGTGGATAGGTAGTCGAGTTTGGTTTGGCCCCTGAGGTTAAGTTCCAAGGTGTCAAGGGCTCTGGATTCTTCCAGTGGTCAAGACATTGGATAGTGTCCAAGAGGAGTGCTTTGGTTTGGGAGTAATTGCCAGGTAGGGATTTGTTTCAGTTTTGAGGGAAGCTTTTAGGAGCTAAATTTTAGTCTGAAGTCTGTATCCTGCTCTACCCCTTACCTGAGGTGAGAAAAAGTCCCACCAGATAGGTATCAGAGTAAAGAGGAAAGCCTCTTCTAGCCAAGCTAGTTCAAACCTGAAGGGTTTTGGCCCTCTTTGTACAACATTGGTATCCAAAAGAATGGGACAGGGGTCTATAGTAGGTTTGGGTAAGGCCAAAGCAAGGGATCCTGAGAAGAGTTCGTCCCAATTGGTAAAGAAGAGGAAGGAGTCAAGTTTAGAGAGGGAGGGATTAGGAGAATGGTTAGACCACGTGAATTGACTGTCTTGAAGAGGAATATCGATGAGTTCATTCTTGGTGATGAAATCAGCGAAATCCCTCATGTCCTGGGAGATGGAGGTCGAAGTATTTCGCTCGTGGGACCATCTCGTGACGTTGAAGTCTCCTCCCAAACACTAGGAAGGGTGTGGTAGAGCTGCAACGTGGACAAGTTCAGACCAGAGTCTGTGTCTGAGCAAGGAGGAGTTAGGCCCATGGACGGCCGTAAATTTCCAAGGGGAGCCGTCAGGGATACTAGAGAGGAGAATGGTGACCGAGTAGTCCCCTAAATGTGAGGAGATGAGGGTGTGTTCCAGCGGATTCCAAACCACCCAGATGCCTCCTGAAGCACCCTTCGCCGGTAGAGCCACCCACTGGGTAGGTTTTTTACCCCAAATTTGGTGTATGAGCTGCAAAGTGGGCTTTGGTTGCTTGGTTTCAACAAGGGCCAGAACAAAGGGGGAATGTTTGAGAGAGATGCCTTTGACAGCGTTCTTCTTGGACTGCTGTCCCAATCC